TTACAGATTTTTCAAGTTACAGACTTCTCTGGCCACAAAATTTAGGTTCGACTTGCAGCTGGAGAATTAACCTACAGACCGGGGAAAAAAGAGGAACAAAAACGGCCAGTTATGGATTAATCGGTTTTCAATGCATTGTAGGTCAATGGAGCCTCGACCTACAGACTTTTCGACCTGCAGCCACCGTTCCAATACGGATTAATTCCGTAAGTCAAGGGCCCACTATAGCTATAAGTTCCCCAGAGTCTACCTATTTGTCATTAACTGGCACTTAAAGTCTCAGTAACTCACTCTGAGACATTTATAGGAGAAAGAATCTTTAAAAAGCCTTGAAGCTATAGACTTGGGCATGCTGTTTTCTTTACTGCACACATATTTAGCTACCAACTGAACAATTTAACAGCAAACAACTGCCACCAACAGACTAAAGAGACAGAAAAAGAACACTGAGCAGAGATGCGGGGCTCTCTTTGAAATCAAAGGCTGTAAGGAACAGTTTCTTAGAGCTGGATAGACAGACATTCACCCCAGCCCAGAAAATATCTTCCCAGCCACACAAACTACAGATAGCATGTGAGGTTGCAAATAAAACTCCAACAGTTTGGGAGAGTACAATTTCCAAAATCTCATGAGCCAACTTGTTGTAGGCCAAACTCTAGCTACCCCACCCTCTACCCCATCCACCCCTTTGCATTTCTTCACAGTGTCTTTCCCCAACTAGCATCCTCCAAAAGTTTTGGACTACAACATTCACAAGACCTAACCATTGGCCATGCTGGCTTTGGCTCATGGAACTGTAGTTCCTGGTTGAGGGGAAGGTGCTTTAAAGGATCAATTATAATGGAGCTAGCATCCATCCTGAATAAAAAATATTTAATACCAAAGATACATATGTCTCATTCCATGACTGCAGGTTCTCATAATGACTGGAAGAGTTGTGTAGCCAACTGAGGATGATGCCAAGTGAATAATAAGGGAGGGAAAATAATTTTGCTTTTACTTTTGCATTTTTCCCTTTCAATGACAACTGCTGCCCCAACAACACACAGAAGTGCTTCCACCATTTTGAATTCTCCACACCAGAGGTGCTTACTATAGATCAACAGCTTTAAAGCTATTCTGGGGCAGATTACTTCCTCAGTTGCACTATGATACACAACTTGGACCTGACTTCTCTTTTACTCTAGTGGAAGAAGTTAAGTCCAAATGTGTGACTTCCAGGTTTTCCATGTTCCATCTTGTATTCTAATCACCATTTTCCATATCAGGAGATGGAATTCCTGAAGGTTGAAACTAGGGTCTTGCCAGCCATTTTCAGTCTTTGGCTGAAGCTAAAGCAGGAATAGGCTGATGGAGGGCAGTGCTCCATATACCCTAATTGGCCATCTACCACTAATCTTACATGGTAGGAATGGACATTGAGCCACTAGTTCATCTGGTCATGCTCATAAGAGCAGGAATTTATTTATTTGGTCAACATGACCACTCTAGGCGGCTAGATTTCTAGGCAGTTATATCTCGGTAGGAATGCCTACAGAGATATAATAAGTTGACCTCATCAGATTCTCCACCCACCCCAATGAGATTCTGCCCAGAAGAGCTGTTATTTTGCCCAGCACAGTGTAGATATCTCTAGACAACTACAACTACAACCAGCATCCCTGCAGTCTCCAATGCCTCATGGCATCAATGAGCTGAAGATAGGGGGATGATAGTTAAGGTCCTCCTTATGTAAATTGTTTTTAATTATATTGTTGTTGCTTATGCTGCTGTAAGCTGCCTAGAGTAATCTTAATTGATTAGATAGGTGAGATATAAAATAAATAAACAAAAAACAAACAAACAAACAAACAAACAAACAAATAAATAAGGTGGGAACATGTTCTTTATGGTTTAGAAAGGGCAATCTTCTACTTGAAGGGCTGGCAGGGAACAAACCCCCTTCTGAAGGAGTTCTCTATTTGAAGGGCTGGCCAGTCAGAGTCTTATTTAACAATAAACCAAGAGGCTGGAGCTTAAGGATCTTGAAAATTGTGTATATACAGTGAGCACCTAGACAGCAGACTCAGCAGTCACACAGATCACCTGGTCACTCTTGTTGCCAGTTGAATGAAATGTATGGCAGTTCTGTTTAAATTGTAAAAATCACTTCTGGTTTTGCACATGTAAGTATACATCAGCATATGCAATTTTATGCAAAGCAAGGCCATCTTTAGTTCTCCCTTTCTGGGATTCAGAGTCTCTTTTTCTGATGGCATGGAAATGGCCAGGCTAACAAGGGTGGAAGTTCCAGCCACCTTATTCTGTGCTTGCCTCTATAGCAGCAGCTGAAGCTATTCTTTTGTCCTTTCTATGTCATCTTTCCGAGTCTTATTCTTGCCGGGCACCTTGTAGAACCGAGCTTAGAGGTATCATAGATAAAGAAGATGCGGGTAGTGCTGACAGCTGCAGCCACCACTATCCTTTGGACCTCCATTACCTCTGGGTTCTCCTCCCCTCCAGGCTGCATAAATTAGGAAGACAGCAGCAATCCAGATCCCATTCCAAAAGGGAGACAAGGAGGTCGCTAACCCCTGCAAAGGCGGCTGACAGAGAAGCAGGAGAAATAAGGGGAAAAGTAGATCTGGTGCAGAGTCTCCATTCCGCACTTGATGTTTCCAGTACCCACCACCAGCATCTTCATAGCTCCAATGACAAAGGCCTTTGAGTTGCACACCCTGATGTTGAGGGCCAGGCCTCAAGACACTAGACATAAGGGTGTCAGATGCAAGTCGCTTGTTTTAAAGATTAGCACAAAACAAGACAGGAGCAATTGCTGCAATCATCCTCTTGAGGGCTCCAGGCCTTGGCCCAAATCCACAGATCCAAGGGTGAGTGTGAGGGTGGTGGCTGTTGTTTGTTTAGTCGTTTAGTCATGTCCCACTCGTCGTGACCCCATGGACCAGAGCATGCCAAGCCCCCCTGTCCTCCACTGCCTCCCGGAGTTTGGTCAAGTTCATGTTGGTCGCTTCAACGACAGCGGTGGCTGTAGCTATATCGCTCAGGGCTGGTCTTGACTGGACAAGGCAGCAGAACTGAACATGGCTCTAATAGCATGAACGCGAAATGCATCACATGCACAATATGCCTCATTTCCATGGGGCATGCTTATGCATCCATATACCACACTGGTGACCCATGATTTATTCTTTCAGAACTTGGAAATGTCATATCTTTGACAGACAATTTTAGCATGTCCCGGGCAGGTGGAGTAGCTACATGATGGAGGGTTTCTTTGAAGGATTCATTCAAAACAGGAGCTGGTTTGAGTTCTGGTTTATTCTTACAGTGTTAAACACCCACATGCAATCTGTTCTAGGTTTTTAGGGGCTACTATTGTAGTGGTCATTTTAATTGTCTGCAATAGCCTTTCCCACCCAGGCAGACGTCTGATGAGTTGAACTACTGCTCCCATAACCCACAGCCACCAAAGCTTATGGCTGATATACAACATCCATCATCTCTTGCTTGCCAGTGGGTGCAAGCTACTGTTTAATGCAACACTCTATGTAGACAGCAAATGTCAACATTTTATACACGAATGCTTCTTTACACTTCCACCTTGAGGATTTTCATCTCAAATTCTTTCTATTCACAATATGAAGACATTCAAGATTTTTTGAAACTTATTTTAATGAACTGAAATGAAGAATTTCCCCCTTTGTAATGTATAGTCTTGGTTAAAGTTGAAAACTGAGAGCTAGGAACATTTGGCCTTCTGTTGATGAACTGTAGCTCCCATCATCCCACATCATTAGCAAAACTGGGTGAGACTGCTGAGAGTTTGTTTGTTTATCTACTTATTTAATATACCACCTAATTAGTGGGTTCGTACTACTCTGGGCAGAGTTGGAGTTCAGCAACATCTGGAGGATTGCAGATTCCCCAGCCCTTGTAGTAAATTGTATGGACAAGCATCATCTGATACGGCAACACAGTATCTAGTCTATTGATTTCAAGGGGTCTACTCTAGGTATGGCTTAGGCTGCAATCTTAAGTAGCCAAGATGACTGAGGGCTAGATGAGTTGACGCTAAGCCAGCTGAGGCTGTCTTGAATCCAAACACTTCTCAGCCTAAGGGTACTAGAAATTATTTAGGACTATTTTTTCTCTGACTTATGTTTATGCCAGTGTAGTGCCTGTGAGTCCAGGCAGAGAATGATTTAGATCTGGAGAAACTGTTCCTATCTCATTCCTCCCCTGCTTCCCCCCTTTTTGGTTCTTCTGCTAGCTGATCTCAGCCAGCACACAGCAATGCCACCAGATCCAATTGCTCCATCAGATCTGAAATCAGCAAACTGGTTATGCCACCACAAGAGGTTTCTGGCCATTCTAAGCCTTCTGCACTTGGCATAATGTTGAGTTTGGATTATGTTGCTCTTCTGAAGCCAACTAAAGGCAATCATATTTAGCTTTAAGGAAATAAGCACCATTAAAAGCAAGGATATTGAGTTTTGTATGTACTGTCCAGAACACTCTGTTCTAGACCCCTCAAGTCCTTTGTACATGTTACCAACTGTTAGAGATTGCCATGACCCAATGCATGATGTAAGAAAGGCAGAATCAATGCAGAACATACTAAGTATGTGTCAGGCCAGGAGTGTATTGCGCAAACAGCACCTTGAAGGATGTTGTTAGTCAACTGGATTTGTTTTTTAATGTTTCTTTCAGGATAGCAAATTTTCTCTCAGTAATGAATGTCTCAATTAATGACATCTGAAGTCTACAGAGGTCCTTTATTTTTCTAAATTGCATTATCTGATTTGTGTAGTGGAATGTGACACACACCCTAGAGATGGCACATTGCTGGTTTTGTGCCAAAAATAAAAATTACTTGTGAATTTTTTTTCTAAGTGACCATATTGTGGCAGGAAACTCATGCTGAGGGACTAGCATAGAAGTGGATTTTCCTCATACGTCTTCTTTTATGCTTTAAACCTTCTACTTCTCATCCTTACCATTACACTCTTTGGTACAGGAAGTGCCCACGAACTGTCCACTGGACAATAAAAGTTCTGGTAAAGAGAACCTTGAACCAGTTCTCTGCTTCCCTCTCGTAAGGAAAAGACCCACCATGAAACTTTTTGCAGCAGTCATTCTCGTTATGGTTTTGCTTCAGAACTTCGATGTGTTCATGGTCAGAGGTATGTTGTTGTTTGCTGTTGTTGTTTTCTATTTCCACTGTAGCATAACAACTGCTGTTCAAAGTTTGGAGTACAATTCACACTTTCCTTTTTGCCAGTAACAAAATTTGCTTTATTCGGGTGGAAACATCTCTCCAGATTCTTGGTCCATTTTGTTCTGTACCCTGTTTCTAGGGGTAGTTAATATATGATACAAAACCCTCTTTAATAAATGCTTATAAAAGGAGGAGGAAGAAATTTCCTTATGTTTGGTTGCACCCCTAAAATATTTAGATTTGATATGAAGATATTGTTCTGAACCACAGATATTATTGTCGTGATTATTAGCTGTGTGGCCTTTAGATATTGTGCAGAACACTTAATAATATTTGGATTCAGTCCAATGATCTTCCATTTGCAAACAAAGAGAATTCTGGAGATCACTGTTGCTGAGCAAAGTATTTCCATAAGTATAGGATTTGCCCCTCTGTGCCTTAAGTGTACAGATGCTAACCCTAAAAGCAATACCCAGCATGGTGTAGTGCAGTGGTCCCCAACCTTGGGCCTCCAGATATTCTTGGGCTACAACTCCCAGAAGCCTTCAACACCACCTCTTTTGGCCAGGATTTCTGGGAGTTGAAGTCCAAGAACATCTGGAGGCCCAAGGTTGGGGACCACTGGTGTAGTGGTTAGAGTGATGGATTATGACTTGAGGGTCATGGGTTTGAATCCTGATCCATCCATGGAAACCCATGAGTGGGGAATGGAACTGGTAAAATCGCTCAAATATCTCACCCCAAAAGGAAGCTAAACCTCATGATTGAAGGAAGCCAGTTTACAGAGGCAAGGTACGGGCAGTTTTGTTCTCTCCATGTTCTCAGCTTGCTTCCATGTATAAGATGCCCCTCAATTTCTAGTGTAATGATTTTAGGAAAAAGTAGTGTCTTATACATGGAAAAATATGGTACTTGTCCACGAGGTCTGGTATCCAGTTGCTAATACTAAATGAGGAATTTCAAGGGAGTTTATTTGCCTTCTTGTGATCCCTTCTTGATGAGGAAGACTGCAAAACAAAGGTCAATGATCTGAAATGTAATTTTACTTTTAATATGTTGAACTTAAATTCTGTGATGCACCCAAAGGGCATATTATCACTTATTATATATGCATATGCATATGCATCTATATGGGTCCAGATGACAATTTTTTGAGTATCTATTTTAATTGTATTTTAATTGTTTTATATTTTAATTGTATTTTAATTGTTGTAAGCTGCCCAGAGACCTTTGGGTAGAGTGGGCGGCATAGGTTAAATAAATAAATAAATAATGCATGTATATGTATATGTGTATGTGTATATATATGTATGGTGTAATTGATAGAATGACAGAGTAGGACTTGGAAGCCCTGTGTTTGAATCCCTACTTAGCCATAGAAGCTCACTGGGGGTGAAGAACTGGTAAAACTATTTCTTAAATATTTCACTTACCTTGAAAGTCCTATTGGGTTACCATAAATTGGTTCCGACTTGCAGGCACATAACATTACATACATATATGCATATGTGTATGCGTATTATTTATATACTGGGATAGGAACTGAGCCCTGTGTTCTTCTTGCAGTTAGGAAAACCTTTTTTGATCTTCTCAAACAGGATTGAGTCAGTTATGAGAGCAGGAAAATTTCATGTCCCCTGAAGTTGATGGGCAAATCTATGAAAGTTGTGGGGTTTTGCTTTTTTTTCTTTTTCTTTTTGCCGAACTTCTAATTTCTCTGCATCCAAATGTGTTTAGGCCTGTGTCCATAGCAGCTGGTCAATGCATCAAAATCTGAAGTTTACAAATGAAGCAGATTCCCAAAAAGTCTGCACACAAAAAATTGTTTTTGCCCAAATTTTTCCTAGTGTCTTTTCTTCATGTGTATTCCTTTACATGTGTTTTTTTTCTCACGTGCGTGTAATTTCCCCTAATATGTCAATTTTGGGGGTATAAATTTCCAAAGAATACTTTCTTGTGCATTTTATGGGTTGACCTCCAGACAGGATTTGGGCACACAAATAAGTTTTCTGACATTCCCATCTGAAATGAAAGTGCTGCCCTGAGAAAAGGTGTCTGGAACAAAAACCTTGTTAATAAGGAATGATTCTGTTTATTGGTGTTATATTGATCTTATTTTGCATTCTTGTTTTAGGAGCCCTTGGTTCCCGAACGATGCCATCCAGCTATTGTGAAAGCCTACGCACAAAAGAAATAAAATGCCAGAGAATTAAGAGCTATTCAATGCTGCAAAATGAACCTAAAAACAAAGTATTGTGAGTATAGTGTGTTATCTTTAACTACAAACTAACCCACATGCTCAGAAAAGAAAAACTAAATCTCACACAGATCTCACTCATATTTAATCAGAAGTAAACTTCATTGACTTCCATGGGGCTTGCTCCCAAGTAAGCATGCCAAAGAGTCCATAATATGATTTGGAAAAGTGGTGGAAAAGGGATCATTTCCTCAGAGAATTGTTCTTAAATTATCCGGTCAACCCTACAGTTTTTAGAAATGATTCCTTCTTTCTCCTCCAACTTGGGATGTGACTACATTGGAAAGTACTTTGCAAATTGCTCCAGAATTTGCACAGGTGAATTTGAAATATTTCTCAATGATCGCATGACATGAAGGTCAATGAAAATCAGACCATCGCTTTTTATTTCCAATCTGAACTCCCACCAAGCCCACCACTGGGGCTTCTACTTTTTTCTAACTACAATTCAAATGGTGTTTTGCCTGTTTGAGCATCTGTTTCATTCCACAAAAAGGACTGCCGTGTGTGAATTTACGTGGTTTTCTAGTGATGTAGTAAGTTGCAACATGATTTTTTTGGGATGACAGGAACGCCTGCCCTACAATCATTTTCCCTAGTTACCCCAAGGTATTTATTTTGTTTACTTTTTAAAAAAGAGTGATTGACTCTAGTCCTAGATCATCTTATTACTGCATTGCTACATTGCTACTAAAAGGGACGTGGTGGCGCTGCAGGCTAAACCGCAGAAGCCTTTGTGTGCTGCAGGGTCAGAAGACCAGCAGTCGTAAGATCGAATCCACGCGACGGAGTGAGCTCCTGTCGCTTTGTCCCAGCTCCTTGCCAACCTAGCAGTTCGAAAGCATATAAATGCAAGTAGATAAATAGGTACCACCTCTGTGGGAAGGTAAACAGCGTTCCGTGTCTAAGTCGCGCTGGCCACGTGACAACGGAAACTATCTTCGGACAAACGCTGGCTCTACGGCTTGGAAACGGAGATGAGCACCGCCCCCTAGAGTCGAACACGACTGACTAAAATGTCAAGGGGAACCTTTACCTTTACCTTACATTAGTTTAGCACTTGGTCACCTCTGCATAGACAGAAAAAAAGGATAAAAATTCATATAAAATCAAAACAACTCCCTCAAACTCCAACAGACTACAGTGTTCCCATGATATCCATATGTATTTTTGTATGTGTGTATGAAGAATTTTGGGAAATTGTCTCCTTTTCCCTACTGATGTGCAACCCTTTAAGCAGTCTCAGTGGCTTCATGAGAAACCATAAAAAGAGAGCTGGGGATCATCAGAAGTGGTATCAGAGGAAGTGGGCCTGTGGGTGCAGATTTTGGATTGAGGGGCCAGTATAGACACTGGCACTGAAACAACCAGGGGTTTTCATGTGGTCACCTAAACTGAATGCAATTGCAAAAGAGACTGTGAGTGAAACCAATGGAAGGCCAAATTGCTCTGATTCGGCTTGACGATGTAGTCACACCCTATTATAATAGGCAATATGTAACAGCAGATACAAGTATGCTATGGAAGTGTGTCACCACTGCCAGTTTTGTTTGCTCCTTTGTACAGGCCATTTGCTGGTTTGGAATTCTGGAGTATTTTGGAGCTGGATTGAGAGGTCTAAGTTCTAGCCCCATTGAAATACAGACTTCACAAATGCAACCTTATGCCTGTTATTCTTTCTCAGTCTGACCTACCTTACAGCAGAGGTGGCTGATTCTCATGCTGGCTAGTGAGGTGGAAGGCAGAGGAGCCCATGGTAGGGAGAGTAAAGGGCAAAAGTGGTTATTCAGAAACACAAAAACAAGTCAAGCAAGCATCCACACATCCACATGTCGGCAAACAGGCAGGCAGGCAAGGACACTGCCTCACATCAACCCTTCCCTTCCATCCCACATGCCTGTTGAGATGCAGAGAATATACCTTTTCTCCAAATTAGGAATGCCCCACATGCTGGTGATTCTCCTGGTGAGGGGTTTCAAAGCTGGGCATTTGAAGTATCACACCATGAATGCCCCAAATCCTATTACAAAATACCATGTGTGGGGAATTGTGCAAGTAGTTTCTGCAATTTTCTGACCATTCATCATGGTTTGTGGCTACATTTGTGGCCAAATGTGCAACCAAGTGTGCAATGTAGATATGGACAGGCACACAATGGACAGCAGAGATGAATGTGCATATCAGCTAGATATGCTATGTCATTTCGAGAGGATTCTGACTGATGAAAATCCCAGCTGATGTATAAGAATTACAGTGGAAAATAGATAGCCAAGGAAAGGATTAAGCACTAGACTTCTCTTTTCTATTCTATTATAAATCCCACAGTCCCTACTCTGCCACGTTCTAGTAGTGATCTATATCCTAGAACTGAACCGACCATCATGCGTCAAGCAATAAAGTTTGGCTTTCACATGCCTCAGCTCTTATAGAGAGGAGGTCTTTTATGGTAAACAACATCCACCATTTTACACTTCAAGATACAAGTGATACCACCTTACCTGTGCCAGGAAGATGTTCACAATTCAAAAATAGAAGTATGAGCCACATTACTTTGTTGATCTGAAGAATACAATCTTGGTACCTTCTATTTTATTCTCTTGTAGATTAATCCTGAAGAAGAAGAATACCAAGGTCTGTGTGCCAGCTGAACTTTCATGGGTGAAGAAAATCATCCTCTGCTTAGATAAAAAAAATGGTACCTACAAATCCTAACAGAATTATGACTCGTTTGAAGTTTTGACCAGTTAAACTGCAACATGTCAAACCATTCTCCACTCATCCCTGAAAACCAGGCTAATTGAAGCAGGGCCTTTTATATATTTAACCTTAGTTGCTTTGGAATTCTATATATATATATTTATTGATAAAAGCCAGCTTTTTAAATAATTTTATTTGTAGCTAATATTACATAATGTGCACAAAATATCCAATGGAAAAACTGATTTTTTTTTAAAATATTTTGACTCTTCTGTCTTTCGCTGTTGTAAAAATTGTGGTCTGGTTCCTCTGGCACCCTTTTTTGGGTACCTGAGAGGGTACCATTTCCAGTTCATCATTTCTCCCAACCATTATCTCTGATCCTTTATGTCTTTTCTGTAATTTATACTGGAACGAGTTTTGAACTCACAATAAATGATACTGTGGAGATCCCCTCCAATCTTGTGATTCTCTGATTGTGTGAAGGGAAGGGTTAATGATTTGAAGTTGGTCAAATGTTGGCCAAAGCTACTGTAAAGCAAAAGTCTGAATTGGATACCACGTGGGGGGGGGGATACAAATGGTCTGTCCACAGGTGAGTTCACTTTGTTGGGTGGAGCTTCTTTGCCCTTCCTCCCGGGATAGCGCGAGACAATCAGATCTTGCAAATGTGAGCCAGGAGGGGAGGGGGAAAGAAGTGGCTTATTTACCATATACAGTATTTCATTGTATAATATACCCCGATGTATAAGATCCCTCCACTTTTTACAAAGAAAGTGGAGAAGGAGAGCACTTTCCTCACGAGAAACTGTAGGGGGAAAGCAGGGATCGAAGCGCTTTGATCCCTTCCCCCTCCTTACTTCCGATTATAAGATGAAACTCAATTTTTAATCTAAATATTTTAGACAAACATCTTATATACGGAAAACTATGGTAAGTGCACTCCTCTCTCTTTTCAGCCTCTTTCAAGGCTCGCAGCTGAGGAGGAAGGATGTGCCCTTTGGTATGACAGTGCTGACACACTTTCAGTTTGGAGCACCACACACACACACACACACACACACACACACACAGAGATTGAGAGTCAGGGGAACATCTTGGTGTTCACCCCAATTTAGTTCCATTTTTAAAGAAAGGAAGATTTTTTTGAAAAAAAAGAGAGAGAGAAGGGAGTGGGCAAAGGAAAGAGTGTGCGGCAGGGGAAGGCTGGCTGTTAGGGCCAAGCCACAAGTCCCTGCACTAATTGCCATTAGAGGAGAGTAAAAGGGGTCTATTGCCCCCCTGCCCCTACCCCAGCATACATTTTTGTTTGGGAGTAGGGTGGTCAGTAACAGCTGTGAAAAATTGGAGTTCACCTGGTCCAGATGAGCTGCACGGATTTTGGTTAAAGCATCTAACAAGTCTCCATCAGCATATAGCAATGCAATTTAACCACTTCAAAATTCTACAACTGAAGATTGGATGACAACAGATGGCACATTTCTGATAATAAAAGATCATCAAAAGGGCAATGAACCTAGTAATTATCAACCAATTGCATGCTTTCCAACAATGTTCAAGCTCCTTACAGGAGTACTTGCAAGAGCAGTATCTAAATACTTAACTGAAAACTCCCTATACCCAACTGAACAGAAAGGGAACTTTAAAAAGTCAAAAGGCACGAAAGATCATCTGCTTATTGATAAAATGATACTGAATAATGCAAAAAGATGAAAAACAAAGTTTAACATGGTCTGAATAGACTATAAAAAGGCATTGCCTCACAGCTGGATTAACAGCTGCCTAAAATGTTTGGGATTAGTAAAAACATCCAGAAAGTTCCCAGCTCGCACTAGGCAGGAATGGGAAGCTTGGCCAGAACTTGGCCTAACTAAACCTCCAAGAGCACAGAGTGCTGTCCTCTGAAGATGCTGGCCACAGAGACTGGCGAAATGTTAGGAAGAACAACCTTCAGAACACGGCCAAAGAGCCCAAAAAACCCACAACAACCACTAAACCTCCAAGCTTTCTAATGTAGGCCTTTCTCCCAGTAAGCCACATTCAGATACTTATATGGTGATTGCAAGGCAGGTAGAACTCTCAGGATTATGATATATGTAATCTAGAAAATCCAAAAATCCCATATCCAGTAATTAAGCATCTTGGGAGTCTTGTTCCTGTGTTAATGACATGTTGTCAGCTTGTCTCTTCTTTGTATCCTCACTGGGTCATAACCCCTCTCATCAAGGAGATTAAATATACATACAGAGTATTTGCAGTCTTTGTGTCTGAAGAAGTCAACTTTGGTCCATGAATAGATTGTGATCTTCCTATCTCCCTTTCCCCCTTTTAGTTTTGCCAACTTGAATCCAGAATTTCTCCAGCTCTGCTTGGAGCTGTCCGTGGTTCTGCTTCCCAGTCAGAAGAATTCCTTCTCCCTTCCCAGCTCCATCTATTCAATTATTAGGGAACAGAGTATTGTGGCTTGTCACGATCCTGTTTTGTATAGCATATTAATTGAACACTGCCAGAAAGAAACAAATAGATTGCAACTTTGACAAGTTGAAATACCACTGAGGTGTAAAAACAGATTCCTACTTGGAACACATGCCATCTTGTTGGATTTCATGAGCAAAGCACTCTCAAGCCTGGTTAGTACTTGGATGGGAGACAACTAGGGGATGCCAAAAATTTCCAAGTGGGTAAGGAAGTGATCTTTGCTGACGTTATTTTGACCACATTCTATCGGCAGTTAGTCAAACCACAGAAGAGCAAATTGTGGTCAGTTCCCCCTCCCACGTAGTACATGCAGGAGGTAGCAATTTGCAGTGCTACAAGGCTGTGATGGACTTTTGTCATGGAAGATGGTAATAGATTACTGTAAAATAGTTATAATTTCTATTATTAACTTAATGAAAGATGAATATGGGATAAGCAGAAGATATTACAGAAGCAAACCTATACCCACTTGCAAATCCCACTTAATCCAATGGGAAGGGATTATCATCATGGGTTATGACACACTTTTTGTGTAGAAGGTACAGGTTCCATCCTTAGCATCTCCTGCCTGAGACCCTGGCCAGTCACGGCCAACAACACTGAGCTAGATGGTCAATTGCCTAATTCAGTGCAAGGGATCTTCCTATTTTTTCACTCATGCCTGCTATCTTGGAGCTGTTAATTCTCTTGTTCAATTAATCAATGGGACTTACTTCTGAATAGACATGGAAAAGATTACATGTACCACACATACAGATGTCTGTGCATGTACACACATTATGGGAAGGGATTATCATCATGGGTTATGACACACTTTTTGTGTAGAAGGTACAGGTTCCATCCTTAGCATCTCCTGTCTGAGACCCTGGCCAGTCACGGCCAACAACACTGAGCTAGATGGTCAATTGCCTAATTCAGTGCAAGGGATCTTCCTATTTTTTCACTCATGCCTGCTATCTTGGAGCTGTTAATTCTCTTGTTCAATTAAAGAGCTTTAATCATTAGAGGTTCTTAAGAAAAGTTTGTCTGGATTCAGCAATAACAACATTTACAGGGCTAGAATAATTAAACTTTGAAATATATCCTTCCTCCATCCTCTATTAAGAACAGACTTTCTGAATCATCTTCTGAATGATTTGCAGGGTGCACTGTGGCTCCACTCAGAGGTTAAACCATAGATACTTTACTGGTTTCCACTGTGGGGAAAAAAAAACTTTCTTTTGTGCCTAAAATAACACTGACTTGTGAACTGCTCAAGTAGCAACCACATTGTGGCAGGAAAGTGCGATTGCTGAGGGGCTCAGGTAGAAGATGGGGATTTTTTCCCTCCCCCCTCTTAAAAACCAAGTTCATGGGTTTTTCTTAGATTTTCCACCTCTCATCAACACCATTACACCCCATTTCACCGGAAGGGTCCCAGAAAAGTCCAGTGGCCTATAAAAGTTCTGTTGAAGGAACTTTAAATCATTTCTACTCTAATCAGTCTAACGAACAGATCAGTCATGAAATTCTACGTGGCAGCTATTCTTGCTATTGCTTTTTTGGAGAACTTCAAGGTACATATTATCAGAGGTATGTTGATGCTTTTCTTATTCTACAGTAGGATGAAACTATAATTTGTAGTTTGGGACTAAAATTGGTACTTCATTTCTGACCAGAGGTAACTTCAGCTTCCAGGTAATCTGGACTTCGCTTCAGATTCTAATTGTTTTACTTTATACCTTGTTTGTTGCAACTATTGATATGAGATGTAAGTTTTAAACCACCGCCAACAATAACAAAACCACCACAAATGTAATTATAAGTGGGGAATGGAGAAATTATAATGAAGAGGGAGGAAGAACTTCCCTTCTGATTCTTTGAACCCCTGAAGCCTTTAGATTATTAGAAAGACATGGTCCTGAGTAACAGATGTTTTTATTTTGCAAATGCTGTGATTCTTAGCTTTATGTTGTGTTCTGTGCTAACAAGTCATTTCCAAGTTATGACAACCCTATGTACTAATGTCTTTTGAAAAGTCCTGTCATTAACAGTCCTGCTCAGATCTTGCAAACTCAAGGCTGTTACTTCCTTTATTGAATCAATCCATCTCATGTCAAGTCTTCCTCTTTTTAATACCATCTTCAAGTTTTCCTAACATTATTGTAGAGGAGATATTGATTTGACTTTCAAAAGGTCTCTTCTTCCAACTGAAAAATCTTCCTCCAACTATTTTTCATCAATCAATGAACCGAATCTGTTGGTCACTACCAGCATCAACCTCCTCAGTCTATTGGGAGTTTTTGTAACTTGTACTGATTTCACAAATTCTACTTTAATTCAAATGAACAATTATATTTAGCCTTTTGGATCTAACCACAGACATAAACAGATACAAACATAATCTATTCAGTTCATATGTAAGTGTAACATCCTAGTGGATCCTTATGATGCCATAAGCAATATCTTTAGAATTATCATGGGAAAGTGCATGATTACTGGCATCAAATTAGTTCAGTAAAACATGAGGTTAATCTTTTCTGATTATGATTCTGGTCTTGACTTCTGTGGGTCAATCTGACAATTGTACTTGTTGGTTTTGTGGGAAGTATTTCCATTTCTTAAAGTTCTCATATATGTAGATTTTTATTTTATAAAACATTTCTAGGACAAAGTATAGTGGACTCTATGAATCATTCATAAACAACTAGCTTTCCAGAATGTTTCATAAACAAAAAGTAACCTTTTCAGCTCTGCAAAGACCTGCATTGATTGTAAACTACCTTGAGCGCCTAACTGGTGGAATACAGTATGTCACTGATGAGTACTTTAAATGCATCCTTCAGACATAATGCATATGAATAGTGGGTGAGATGTGCCCTCCAATAAGAGCAGGCAGCTCACCAGATTTGGAGAAAGGTGGTTATTTAAGAGACTGCACAAGGTTCTGTTACATACCTGCAGTAGATTTTAGAGATGTCCTTCAGCTGTCACCTCCAGGCATAGGAAAGCCATTTTAATGTAAGGTGCTCCATAGTGGCTTGATCTGACTGAAACTCTCTCTCTCTCTCTCTCTCTGTATGTGTGTATGAAGGGACATGCAATAGGGCACATGTGCTGGGGATCTGCACATGTACCAGTGTTCTTTCCAGCTGTCAATGCATGTATGCAAACACCCACACCTTTCTGCACATGTACCAGTGTTCTGTCCAGCTGACAATGCATGTATGCAAACACCCACACCTTTTCTGTACACATAAACTAAAACAACAGAACTGCATTTGAAGGAATTATGAAACCTGTAAAATTTCAGGTGGCAAAGATTCCAGGATCTCTCCTCACATCCCAAGAGTAAAAATTGTGGCTGATTCCATTATTAATTAGACCACCTTCAGGAGAGAGATCCAACTTAGAGATGGGGACAAACTGGAGTTCTAATTAAACACACATACTTCTGTGATGAATGTTGTTGGTGTTTTTATACAGCGCACTGCTAAACTGTGTAAAATGCTGCCACCAGAGTGATGACCATCAATATCGATGAATGTTGTTAAACTGGTGTTTTTATACAGCGCACTGCTAAACTGTGTAAAATGCTGCCACCAGAGTGATGACCATCAATATGGATTGTTCCATGATTCTTTGTCCTTAAAAGAGAGTTAAACAAGCTCATAGTGGATACGCCTGCCAATGCCCATCAATCATGATGGCAACAGATTGCTTCTACTATCAGAGGCAATAGTACTCTGAGTAAAAAGCATGAGGGAGTGTGACACAGGGGACCATTCAGTTCATGTCCTGCATTGCTGGTTTCCCAGAAGCACCGTGGTTGGCCAATGTGAGAACAGAATGTCTCTGATCCAGTACAACCCAGTTCTAGCACTGTTTCTGTGTTCACAATAAACAGATTATTTTATATCTCTGTTTTAGAAACTGTTGGATCTCAAACAATGGCACTGAGCTCCTGTGTAGACTTGCGTCCAACCGAAATAAACATCAGAAGAATTTCTGGTTATGAAAAACAAAACAGGCCTATAAAAGCTGTCATGTGAGTATCTAACCTTCGAGTATAATGTAGATTACAAGTCTGGAAACAATTACTTCATCCCACCAGCAAAAAATAAAAGGACATAAACAAATGTATTTTGTTATGTGAGGTTTGTGAATTTCGTTGTATGGTATACTAATGTAGATTACAAGTCTGGAAACAATTACTTCATCCCACCAGCAAAAAATAAAAGGACATAAACAAATGTATTTTGCTATGTGAGGTTTGCGGGATTTGAAGTTTTAACCTGTATGTAAACCATCCAGAATAGTGCTTATGCTAATGGACAATTAGACAGACAGACAGACAGACATTCACGAAGGGTTTCACGGCCGAGATCTAATGGTTGTAGGTTTTTCGGGCTCAGACAAAAAAAACCCACAACAACCAGACAGACAGACAGGCAGGCAGGCAGGCAGGCAGGCAGGCAGGCAGGCAGAGAGGGAGAGAGAGAGAGAGAGAGAGAGAGAGAGAGAGAGAGATGTACATATGCATGTGTACTTGTGCACACATGTGTATGTATGTATATGTGTGCATGCAATAGACAATACCCAATTTCCCCTAATAGGTGAAAGTATTGACATTTGCTGTTGCATAAACCATGCATAAACCATGTCTTCGGGTAATCAGGCATCATAGCTCTCAGTCAGTCCTCACACAGAGCCTATGAATTGATTTAGGAGTTCACCATTCCTGTTGGATGTGATGTGATTCACATTCCAGGTATATGTGTGCATGCAATAGACAATACCCAATTTCCCCTAATAGGTGAAAGTATTGACATTTGCTGTTGCATAAACCATGCATAAACCATGTCTTCGGGTAATCAGGCATCATAGCTCTCAGTCAGTCCTCACACAGAGCCTATGAATTGATTTAGGAGTTCACCATTCCTGTTGGATGTGATGTGATTCACATTCCAGCCTATAACCCAATTCCTGTTGGCTGTGATTCACATTCCAGCCTATAACTCCCCTTTCTTTCTTTCTTTCTTTCCTTCCTTTCTCTAGTCCCACTTCTGCCAGTCCTTCCTTCTTCTGGTCCCACCTCTCTCAGTCCGATGAGGAATTGACCAGGGGTGCTGGTGTTAATATGGGAAATAATAACAATGACCTAATAGTAAGGTGATAGGGTGATCTAGCATTAATGAAAAATTTGGAAGATGATCAGATGAGAGGAAAGAATGAGGGGCATGTTCCCCTGATTCTGAACATCATGTCCTGATTGTCTACGTCACTGAAACACCACCTATAGACCCCATCTTTACAAGAATGTATCACAACAAATTTTTTAAAAATGAAAAATTTGGAAGATGATCAGAGGAGAGGAAAGAATGTGGGGCATGCTCCCCTCATCCTGAACATCATGTCCCAATTGTCTACGTCACTGAAACACCACCTACAGACCCCAAGAATGTATCACAACTAACCACATGTGGAAAAGCCGATTTAAATGGTTCCAGATTGAAAAAGTAGAAGCCTCCAGTGGCAGTGGAATAAAAGGTACATTGATTGATTTGAATCAGCCTTTGCATCATGTGGTCAGTAAAAAAATAGTTTGAATTCAACTGTTTTATAAGCAGAGCAGATCCCATGGTATTTGGCCATGTAGTTGCAGCCTAATATAGTAATAGAGATCTGACATTCTTCTTCTATATCAGTGACCATCCATTGGCTTTTTAGAAGCTTGTAAGCAGGCCCTGAGCAGAACAGGCCTCTGCTGGATTTCATATTCAATGTCTATGTTCAAAGCCACGAATCCCATTGCCTACTGTCAAGGTTATGCACAATCTAAGTAAACTTTAATTTAGAATTCCAAATTAGGAGCAGTCCCAAATTTTCAACTAAACTACTGAAATTTAAGTCTTATATAATTGGTTAAACATCGTGCGATATGTGTTTTAACTTGATCGTTAGTTAAGTCTTAGTTGGTTAAGTCTTTAATTGGTTAAACGTATTGCGATATGTGTTTTAACTTGATCGTTAGTTTTTAGTGCCATCCATACTTCTCTCGGCATATACACAAACCATTATGGCTTTTATTTTCATTATTCTTTCTATTTAAACAATAAACATTTGTAGTAGTGCCACAGGGCCTATGAAGCTTGGCATGGTCTAGGTAATCAAGTTGGTTAAGTCTTTAATTGGTTAAACGTATTGCGATATGTGTTTTAACTTGATCGTTAGTTTTTAGTGCCATCCATACTTCTCTCGGCATATACACAAACCATTATGGCTTTTATTTTCATTATTCTTTCTATTTAAACAATAAACATTTGTAGTAGTGCCACAGGGCCTATGAAGCTTGGCATGGTCTAGGTAATCAACATACTGTATATTACTCCCATCAAGCTTTTGGCCTAAAATAAAGGAGAGAGGGAGAGAGGGTGGCAGGATGAATGGTAGGCCAAGGTTTGTAGAAGAATATATATTGAAAAGTTCCCAAGTTCCAAATGCATGTAAACATGAGTTAAAAATAATTGTTCACCAGACTCATTATAGGTTTTCCAAATTCCAGATTCTGATGTCAGGTTTTTATATTATAGCTTGAACTGTTGGGACACTGATATCTACTTGTCATGAACAGCTACGGGATTGTCCACAGATAGCAGGAATGTTCACAAATCTTTTGGTCTGAGTCCTAAGTCCAAGTCCAAATCTTTGGTACCAAGTCCCATGTCCCAAGTCCCAAGTCCCAAGCCCCAAGCCCCAAGTCCCAAGTCTCCTATTCAAAACAAGTGTGTGTACCCCCTTCCCCAAGCCCCAAGTCCCAAGTCCCTATTCAAAACAAGTGTGTGTACCCCCTTGCTAGAAAAAAGGGGTGGATGGGTGGGTTCCACGTCATGAGTCGGGTCTGAGTCATTGGAAGAAAAATCTGAATCAAGTTGGAATCAAAACACCAGTGCAACTTAAGTCTGACTTGGCAGCAAATTCCACGACTCGAGTCCCCATTCATGACAAATAGGGGCCACAAGAACCTGCCTGATCCCAGATCATTGGTTCATCTAGCCTGCTACTAGATGAGCCACAATGGTTCAGGATTTCACCAGGACTTTTCACGGCCCTACCTGAAAATGACAAGGATTAGACATAAGATGTTCACCATGCAATGATGAACATACTCTGTGCTGTGATTTTGACCCTTCATAAGACAGTACCTGAACTTGATAGTTAATCCTTTGTTTTGCTTGATGCCTTAAAATTACGGATGGGTGGCATAGGAAGAGGGGGAATGGAATCAAAGTGAGGGTCACTTTGATCCCTTTCCCCCTCTTCCTATGCCACCACTGGGGCACAGAAAGAGGGGGAAAGCCCAACCGAAGCCATTCTCCAGCCACACTGGCTTTGCAAAGGCAGCAGAGCAGGGAGATCACTGCATAGAAAGAGGGGAAAAGTTTGATCCAAGCCATCCCCCAGCCCCTGAGGTGGGTTTCCCTTCTGGCAGGCTTTAGCAAGCTACCAGAAGGGAAAATCCCTCTCTGCTTATGCCCCTGAGGAACAGCTGATCCACGGGGGCATAAGTAGATAGGGAACAAAAGGATAAATATTAAAGGGTTATTTTCATTGCTTCATATTCATCAGGATCTCTGAACTCTGAGAATACAAAGCAATGACTATCTGACAAATCGTTGTCATATTCGTTGAGTATCCTGATTCATTTTTATATTTGTCCCTATGTCTACTTATAATTCAAAATGTTAAACACTTTATAAATGCAAACAACCTTAGGGAATGGATCTGAAAGGTGTTATAAAACAAAAATAATACAACAATATACTAAAGAAGAGAAAAACATAAGAAAGAGAGAATATGTAGTTCTTCCATCGACAAAAGCCATGATAACAAAGCTGTTAGTGGAATTTGATCTCTGGTGGGTGGTTGTCTCAGGCATGTGATTCTCATCTTGTGATATCCCAGTTCAGGTGTACTTGTAGGTCTGAACTCCTCCCAAAGTGAAGGTCACAACTATGCTAACAGAGTTACAGTCCAGAATTTCAGAACTGAGATACACCATAATTACATAACTATCTGAAAGCATTTCAGATAGAAGTAGCAGTGCCACCTTGTACATTGGTCTATATAGTTCATTTACCATTTTTATAACCCTCTTACTAAATTGATCAGTAAATTACATATCAACTCTAGCTTTCCTATGCATTAAATAATATAAAAGATTTATCACAATGAGCAGCATTCATTATTTGACCATCAAAGGGAGTAACTATATTCTGTATATTACCTATCATCCCCCATTGGTGCCAGAAGGGATGTTAAAATACTGTGTTGACATATGTCATATTTCACCATGGAAAGAGAAACCCAGAAACTATTAATTTAAGGAAAAATAACAATTAGCCTTTTATTCTCCTGCAGATTCATCACCAAAACTGGTGTCAAGGTCTGTGTGCCACACAATCTTCCATGGGTCAAGAGAACGATCAACAAGCTGGATCAAAAGAAGGCCAGAAAGCAAACAAGACCTACAGTCACCCCCAGGGCCAGCTAACCTGCAACAGATCAACTCATCAGCAGTTCGAAAATTGTTGACTGGAAATAAAGTTTCTGAACAAATGTCCAGTTTTGCTGGAATCTATATGTCTATTAAGACAGAGCTAAGTGAAAAATGGATATTTAATGCTGCTTTTCGTTTTTATTAATTTAGCTTTAAAAATTTATATTTATCACAAGAAGCCAGATTTATTTCAATGTCTTCTGTTGTAAATGTTATAAACCAGCAGCTGTAGAAGTCCATTCTGACTTATGGCCACTCTTTCCGGGGGTTTTCCAGGTAGAAAATACTCAGAAGTGGTTTACCATTCCCTCCTTCAAGGGCTGCCCTGCGATTGTGCAGCTTGCCCAAGACTATTCACCCTGGCTGCTCACCCTGGAGGAACAGTGAGGAATGGGACTCCTAACGTCTGGCCCTGCAATCAGATGCTTAAACCACTGAGCTATTCAGTCAGCACAAGTGTTATGAGAATACTGGGAAATCTTTATTAAACATTTTCCTTTTCACTTTTTTCTGATCTCATATTTCTGACTGGTGACATCCTACAAACAGACAGATATACTGTGTTCTGTGATTGTGCAGAATGTAGATGAAGAGTTCTCAAAGTAGTTCTCAAAGTAGAAATGTAAGCATGACATTAATCTTGAGTTTCAGGTACTATCATAAGTAACCTGAGAAACCAGGAACAAGACAGGATGAAATAACCTTCTCCTAATGTGTACCTGTACTTAAACAAAACAGTCAAATCTACAATATATCCCACATAGCTGTGTGCCTATGTAATTGTCATGTACCTGCTATAGAGGTATAGATCTCCTTATTAAAGGATTACCTACATCATCATGATAAATATGACTGCAAGTAGTTTGTTATTGTTCAAATATGAGAGGAAACAACTGGGGGAAGAAAGCAGTATCTAGAGAGAAATTGAGGACAGGAGCATTTTTCCAATGCCCAGGATGTCTTTCAATTAGGATTGTCTCCAATTAAAAAAAAGAACCTAAAACTGAATTAATTTCTTACTAACTGATGCAATCACTGGTTAAAATAATATTATATTCCATGTTGATGGTGCGGTAACGTTATTTAAACAAGGCTTCATGGAGGACAAAAATTCATCAGCTCGAGTCCTATTGCTATTTGCCTAAGGTGTTTATAACTTACCATAGCTAATTGATGAGATATCAGTGTGTGTCTCTGTTGCAGAATGGATATATCACAAGGCATACAACCAGGACAAACCTTGACACCTTGTTAGCAGAAATTAGCTGGGGCAAAGTACACAAACTGTACAGGAATAGCAGTAGGATTCTGGCCATGATTCTGAAGACCATTTTCAATGTCTTGTGGGAAATAAAAGATTTCCTGGAATTAATTAGGAGATATTGATTTGAGTCCTGCATTTTATTCAGCTGCTGTTTAAAACACATGATAAAATAATTTCTACAATGCAGTTAGCAAATCTATTATTTTATATATACAGAACTATAATATATATTTAGTTTTTATTCAATATGGATAGGGAACAAAGCAAAGCACTAGTGAAATGAATAGAAAGTTCACACCAGCAGAGTGATTGTTTTACCACATCAGTGCTTAGACTGGAAAAGAGGAGAAACTATAGACCATAAAATCTTGATCTTTCCTAAGACTACACTCAGTACTACAGCACAACACACCATCACTTACCCTTCTCACAAATAGAGTAGCTGGCCATAGCCCACCCTTCGCTTAGCATGCCATTGCAGCAACAGTCCTGATTTTGAATGGACTGATGAATTTCTGCATTTCAATGAAATTATTTCAATGAAATGATGCAAATGGAAGTTGAGTTGGAGGTTCTTCTCTCGCCAGTTTCCAGATTTTCTCACCTTTCTGGTCCAGACTTACTGACCTTGCCATGGACCATGAGTGAAATGTAGGACCAGCCTAGTTCTGTAAACCTGACCTGTTAGTCTCAAACCATTGCCCCGAGTCCCTTCGTTGGGAGAAAAACAGGTAATAGATAAAGTAAACAAATAAATATTGTAAGTAGATAAATGAACCCAGCACAAGAAATGGAGGTCTGCTATTTATGCCATTTCTCGCAGATTTTCTAAGGAGTGCATTTTAACTTCTTGATAACAGTTTTAACTTTTCCTCATATCTTTTCATTATAAACTATATAGCCTAAATCCAATGCAATTCTGGCTGAGTGAAAATACCAGCTAGTGTGGTTGCTCTTTTAGCCTTTTGTTTCTGTCTACGGAGTTTTCTTGGCAAAGATACTGGAGTGGCTTGCCTGTTCCTGCTCCTGAAACTGACGCTCCAATACTTTGGCCATCTCATGAGAAGACTCCCTGGGAAAGACCCTGATGCTGGGAAAGAGCAAAGGCAATAGGAGAAGGGGACGACAGAGGATGAGATGGTTGGACAGTGTCACCGAAGCTACCAACATGAATCTGACCAAACTCTGGGAGGCAGTGGAAGACAGGAGAGCCTGGTGTGCTCTGGTCCATGGGGTCATGAAGAGTCGGACACGACTTAATGACTATTACCTTGTTTTTTTGCTCTGGGTTATGCTGCTGTTCGCATGCCTGCAAGTTTTGTAAGCAATTGCTTGACCAATTGTTTGCCAGGTCATCAAAATCTCCTTCTTTGAGCTGCTTGACCAATTGTTTGTTCTAAGTTGCCAGGTCATCAAAATCTCCTTCTTTGAAAAGTCAGGGCTAAAACTGGAGACTGGAGGGAAGATCCTTGTGACGTCATAGAGGATTGGCAGGCAAAATTTGGGAGGGAAACAAATAGTACATTTTCACACTGAGTCTGTAAGCCATGGTGTGAACTCAGAATAGGTTGAGAAGGTTGCCCAGAGTTTAAAGCCATCTCATGCACCTCAGGCACTGTCCTACATGTACTGACGCTCACTCTGAGAGTTGGGGCCCTGGTGAAGCACACTGATTCACCAAAGCTTCCTTCCCTGGCTTGTTTCTAGACGTGCTGACGCTCACTCTGAGAGTTAGGGCCCTGGTGAAGCACACTGATTTAGCAAAGCTTCCTTCCCTGGCTTGTTTCTAGACTTCCTGTTCCCCCTTTTTAAAAAACAAACAAAAACAAAAACAAAATTTTAAAAAAACACTTTTTCTAAAAAAAGAAAAAGGATTTTGTGTTTTGGCAGAATCTAGAGTTCCACATCCAACAAAACACTGTTGTTTTCTAAAAAAAGAAAAATGATTTTATGTTTTGGCAGAATCTAGAGTTCCACATCCTTGCTAATAATGTTCACTTGTGTAGACTCACCATCAATTATCAGAAGCAGAAAAAATGAGAATGAGACTTGGCCGTGGGAAAACAAGGCATATTTTTCATGCCCTCTTTACTGTTCCTATAAACTGGTTTAATCTCTCTGTTGTTTTCTAAAAAAAGAAAAATGATTTTATGTTTTGGCAGAATCTAGAGTTCCACATCCTTGCTAATAATGTTCACTTGTGTAGACTCACCATCAATTATCAGAAGCAGAAAAAATGAGAATGAGACTTGGCCGTGGGAAAACAAGGCATATTTTTCATGCCCTCTTTACTGTTCCTATAAACTGGTTTAATCTCTTCCCTCCAATGTCTCAAGGCATAGATTAATCCTGTTTCCTACTCTTGATGTGCACAGCTTCTGAAAATCATCTAAGCCTGCCTGATCCTAGATTTTTTTTTAAAAGGTTTCCACAGAATGTTAGAAAAATCTGCTGTAGTATTTTGTATTGGCTATAGCTGGACAAACACAAAATAGGTTCAATTTCATTCTCAGTTCCTTCTCATTTAGACTGACATGGCACAGCAATCAGAAGAGTCTCACTATGAAATCACACCATCTACTTTACTGAAATTCATTATCTCAATATAGCAGTTCAGCAGTTTGCACAATACAGAGTCTCTGTCTTAAAGCTCAACAGAGTTTTCTGCAGCCTTTGAATCTCTAATTTCAGTGTGAAAGTTCCAGCACATTCACTGCTAAGATTGCAATGGATTCTGGTTTTATCTACCTCCAGACAGGTTTAGTTGACCTTACACAATTACCTTGTTTTTTTTAAAAGGAAGTTGTGGAAAGGAGAATCAAGTTCAAACAAGTAGGATGCCAAAGTCCTATGCCTGCCGTGATGGCACTGTTTTAAATTGTGCCTTGGAGGTATTCCATGTTCTGATGCCTGTGCGAAGCTAGTTCAGTCCAGACAGGGAATTGCTGAACCAGACAAGAACTGATTACATCTCTCCATTATGCCCCAGTTAGTGATGTACAAGAAATCAGTCTATATCTGCTCCATATGAGTTTCACATGTATGAAATCAGAACTCTGTTCTGTTCAATTTTCACATCATTGTACAACTTAAAAAACACACACTCATTCAAATTCACATACATTTTAATATGCATCTTCCTCTTACATTTATTTTGCACACATCTTGCCTCTAAACTATTCATTTTTTGCAGATGTTTCTGTAAAAAAAAAGGAGATCTATGTATCTCACCGTAGCTTTTTGGAGGTAAAGTGGAATATCAGTGCCACAGATAAAGAAAGAGGCAAACAAGTACAGTACATAATACACAGCTTTTTTGTACAACGTTTCAGCAGAAAATTGCATCACAAAATTTAGAAAAATGTAGAATTCTGAGGACAAGTGTTCTGACCTACATATTATTTAGGACATGTGAATTAGGTTGGTTTGCTTAAAAATGTGGACTAAATGAAATCCTGCAGTATCTCTTGTGCTAATTTAATATCTTCAGCTGAAAACACAGCTTCAGATGACAAACACAGAGAAAATTAAAAATGTAACATGTCAATAAATCCTCTTTTTCTAGCAGTACATGTCTTCCTCTGAAGAAGTGAGGCAGTTGACCAAAATGTGGAAAATTAAGAGAGAGAGAGAGAGAGAGAGAGAGAGAGAGAGAGTTTTCAGCTGATGATATTAAGATATTCCAGCTTTTATATTTCTGCTCTTGTTATTTTAATTCTAGAAATTGTTTTACATATTTACTGTTTCAGTTTCATTCCCTACAGCATCCTATTTTGTTTTATTTTGCTTTACAGGTGGGTAGCACAGAAATCATCAAAATTAGTTGCTCTGTGGGCAGATCACGAGAATTACCCCCAAACTTCAGTGGTATCATCCCTATTGATAATGAGCCATCATGAGTTGATCAAATAAAAAAAAATTGAATGGTTGTTAGAATAACTTCTCTGTAGATTTCACTTCAATGGCTGGCAAAAATAAATCAACCAAAAACCATTTTATTGGATGGGTGAAGTTAAAATGTTTTTGTATGTGAGAGACGGGGTTCCCAATTTAAATAAGAACACAAAATGGCTCCTCAATCTCAGCATGTCCTTTATCATTTCACAGCTGCATATACGGCTATGCTGTATGGTACACACCATTATTGTTACATCAAGGCCCTTGCATTGACTATTAAAAGCTCTTCCTTTTCTGCTCTGCATTAAGATTCTGCCCCTGATCCATCTTGGTCAATGCTGGCTAGACTGATTAGCCAGAGCCCTCCACCTGGCTGGGGAATTCTGAGAGCTGTAGCCCAAAAAAGTAACTTTTTAGGATGGATGGCCAGAGGTCAGAATTCTGGAAAGAGGACCAAGTGGGGTTTGTGTGTGTGTGTGTGTGTCCAGTGTGCCGTGCTTAGGTCAAACTTTAATGGATGAGTTTAAATTGTTGAGACCCGAGGATGTGGACAGATTGCTTGGATCTGTCCATTCTACCACCACGCCGCTCGACCCTTGCCCATCTTGGCTAATTGGAAGATCTCCCAGGGGGGTTCGCACTTGGGTCCAGGAGGCCGTGAATGCCTCTTTGAGAGAGGGAGTGGT